CAAATTTGTAGTAGAACTTGAAATAGCAAGTAGCTGACACGGCATGTTGATTGACAATCTACAGACGTCATAAATTCCAATTTAGGTCTAATCGTGCCATAGCGTCAGACAAAAATAAAAAAAAAAGGGTAATTGTGAGCTTGGAATGTGTCGGTACTTCAAATAATACCCGTCTTTCTCAGCTCCGACGATTGCGATATCACATATACAAGGGTGATAATGTAACAAAAATAATAATAAACGAAATACTTACTACCAATTTACTTACGGGAAATTCTTATCCTTATCTTAATCAGTTGGGTTTAATCTAGATGCTGTTAGGAAGATCACGTAACGCATTAAAATGCATTGTAAAACAAGAATGTTGAATAATTGAATATTACAAAAGTTTCAGGCATTGTTTCAAATTTCAAGCCGCAAGTCATGTGCCAGATGACGAGACGAGTCGATATATTGTGATTCTACTGCGTGCTTCCCAATAAATACTCATTACAAGTTGCGAGAGAAAAAATTTTTTCTTTGAACTAGAAAATTTAATTTGTCCTTTTATATTCTTTCCTTGATTTCAACCTTATTCTCGTTTTAAAGTTAAGGTACTTATTGTATAAATAACAGCGCCCAATAAACTCACACGATGCGTGCATGAGATAAACGACCAAATTTGGTATCATTGGTCGAATAATTAAGGCGAGCACAAAAGCAAATTACACATGCAACAGTTATGTTCGAAAGGCGATACTCAAGTCTTTCGTTAAAACTTCAAAAAATTTCATTTTAAATAACTAATAGTAGGTGATGGAAGTCGGTTACATATGGGATTAAATAATGCCTACTGATCCCGGAAGTTATGAAAATTAGCATTAACGTCACTAACATTTCTACCGATTTACCCCTTTTGGCATGGTACAGGAATCAGTCATACACTACGTTCCCATACCATCTTTATAGGGTTTTTCCTTGTTAATAATGTTGTAAAAAAGGAAATCGAAAGAAAAAAAGGGATCTTCAAAGTATTGTTATGCGTTCGTCGATTTCATAATCGTCGCTGTGCTTTCTAGGTTTT